GGTCTTATTTTATATATGAGAAACAGTTGAATAACTTGCCCAAGATCACACGGTTTAATGGCAGGAGAACCGTCATTTGAAACAGGTAATTTGATTCCAGAAACCCAGCTCTTAAACATTCTACTGTATTGTTTTCTCAACTCTAAGATTCCATGAATCTTTGATATATTTTTTTAGAGAACTACTACAACCCAATGTAGTTTATATACATATAAACAAAATGTTTTGAAAAACTTAATCTGAATTTTAAAAAGGTCAAACATTTTCTCTGAATGGAGAGTCAGAGAAGGGCTGGGATACAGATGCTGTCCAGAAATACTTAAAAATAAATATTTACCCTAACACAAATTGGCAGCCACTCCCCCACTCCTCCCCCACCATTGCCCTGTGGTACTTTTCAACCCAATCTCCTTCGAATAGTGTTCTATATTCTTGAAGAGAGCATTTATTATTATTATTATTATTTTTTGTCATACAGGTAGGGTAGAAACAGATTCACTAAAACCTGTTGAGGCTTTGCTTTAGGCTTGATTGTGCTGGTCACTCCAGCTTTGTCCTTCCCCTAAGGCAGCTTTGCTTCCTGGGTATGTTTCCTGTTACTAGCTTATGCCCTTTTAGAGTCTCAGTAGAAGCCTGAGGCATTTATCAAGGTCCAGATACCTTAGTAGGGCTTGAAATTAATGTGTGTCTCCAACACCTCATAGCTGCTGAAATCTCTGCTTACGTCTAGCTACTGTTACTGTTTTTTGTTTGTTTTTCTTTTCTGAGTTTCCTGGTGTCTTGAACATATACAGCTTAAGAACTGACCAATGACTTGGAAATTTGGTTGCAGGTTTGTGTGCTCTTTCTTCATGGTTCTTCCTTTTTATGATTTCTCCCTCAAACTGCAGCCACTTTGACTGTCCCAAACTCCATTTTCTGTCTTGTCTGCCTCGTAAGGTCATTGAAGTATTATTTATCTGCATTCTGATTTGAAAAATAAAATGCCCTCAAAATAAGAGCGAGGGTGAATGTGGAGCTCAACTCTTGTGCTTCCCCTTCTCACAAGAATCGCAGACCTGCAAGTCCTGCATTCACTGCTTACTTTGCAATTAATGCCTTCAAACTGAAGGTTAATATATTTCATCTATCCTTCTTAGCAGGAGGGTTAGCTAAATATCAGCTACTCTATTAAGACCAAAATTGGAAGACCTTATAGTCTCTCTGGTTCTGCCTGCTCCTACCAGTCATCAAAGGAGAGGTTAAAAGCAGGAAGGATAAAACCGTCTCTTATTTATAAGCTAGCTATTTCCCAGAGGAGTTTTGGCAGGCTGCCTGATTTTCTAGGAATAGTCTCTAGGTTTACAAAGGTTATAAGGCCTGGCTTTCCATGGAAATGACCAGAGCTAGCCTTTCATCCTGGCTCTACCCTAACTAATGGTATGACTTTAGGCAAATTGCTCATCTTCTTTGAGTTTATTTATCTCTGCATCTAAAATAGGATTAATAGCTGACTTGCTTACCTTTCAGGAATATTGTGAGGTTAATAAAAGTATAGGAAATCTTTTTAAAGACTAAAATGCTGCAGAAACAGAGGCATCTCTTACTTACCTTTAACCCCAGAGCCTAGAAATAGCTTAGAACTGGGAATGAGGGTCTCAAGATGTAGGATTGGGTGAGCCACTAGCTAGCTTTTGACTCTGAGTAAATCCTTTCATTCTTTCTGATCTGCAATGTGAGAGAGTTTATCAAACGGGATGTGATAAGGCAAAAAACCTGGAAATTAGATAAGGTAAAAATGAAGAAGAGCTAATGTGTGAGATAGAATGAGCAAGAGACACTGCACAGACCTATTAGGACATTAGCTTGGACATACTTGCAAGCAGGTTTTACTTTCTAAACTGATGTCTTATTTTCCTTAATTACTATGAAATTTTACAATAGTGCCCTACAGTTGCAAGGTCATCTGTTTTCCAAGTTCTTTGTTAAATTTCTTACTTTTCATAACAATCTTATGAGATAGCCTTAGGCAGGGCAGGAAAGACAGAAGAATCCCAGAGAGGTGAAGTGCGTTGCTCTAATCCTGCAATACAACACATTTACTCTGCAAGGGATTGTGTATGTGTGTGGTGCACGCGCACATATACACCCAGAACTGGGGAAATAAAAATATGTGTCCTTATTTTGGTGACTGAAGTCATTATCTACATACCGAATAATCTAAGCTAGAATCCTGTGGTGATGGTGGTGGTGGTGTTTTCACCTATTCTGCAAATATGTGTTGATTGCCTTATACAGTGTCAGCCTTGAGCCTGGGGATGCAGTGAAGAATGGCATAGAGCCTGGAGGCAATCACAACCTGAGAGACAAGAAACTTCTGGAGTATTATGTGTTCTGTAGATTTCTGCCTCAACGCTGTGCTGTAGGAGAGCAGGGGAGGGGTCCCAAGTTTTGCCTGGAGGGAGTCATAGAAAACTTTATTGGAGAGGATGGCCATGCAACAGAGACTTGAGGGGAGGTGTAGAGGCTTGCTAGGCAGTAAATAGGAGCAGGGTAGGGTGTTAGAGGAAGGAGGAGCAGCATCCACGAAGTATCATAGGCACAAGAGAACACTGGGTGTTTAGGGAACAACACGCTGCTAGAGGGTGGAAGTAGGTAGAAACAAATCATTTTGCACAATTTTGAAGATTTACCTTCCCTCTTTTTATTCATTGTCTCCACACCCGATCAATCACCAAGTCCTACAGATGTGTTTCTTTCTGTTCATCCTCTTCTACTGCTTTGGTTAGAGTCTCACCATGACCAACCTGAACTATTGCATTTTTCTCCTGACTGAACTTTCTCTCCCCAGTGTGGACCTTTTCAATACATCTTCTTCCTCCTTTTGTCCAAGATAAGCCCAAACTCTTTAGTCCACCTTACGGAACCCACCTCCACTAGTACATGATGGCATCTCCAGATTTATTTCTTGTAGACCACCCCCATTCCATTCACCTGTCCCCTCTTCATTCCTTAACTGATTTCTTACTTTATTTCATTCGTCCTTAATGCCTCAAGTTTCCCTCCATTCTTTCACTGATTTTTGCAGCCTCCGTGCCTCTGTTGACACTTCTCCCTCTGCTGGTATACGTTTCTCCTGCTCCATCAGTGAACTCCTCACCTTTCATGACTCCAGACTCAGCAAATCCTTTCCAGCTCTGCAAAGCCTTTCTTGACACATCTGTCTGTCCTCACTGATTTCTAAGTTCCTTGATGACAGACACATTGTCTCATTCTTCTTTGTCTCCTCAGCACCCCAAAGAGTGCCTGGCTATTCAATAAATATCTGTTGAATGGATTAATAAAATAATTCCTAGAGGCAGAGTACAGTGGCCCATGCCTGTAATCCTAGCACTGTGGGAAGCTGAGGCGAGACGATTACCTGAGCCCAGGAGTTTGAGACCAGCCTGGGCAACATAGTGAGACCCAGTCTCTACAAAAAAGTTTAAAAATTAGCCAGGTGTTGGGGTGCATGTTTGTAGTCCCAGCTACTTGAGAGGTTGAGGCTGTGGTGGGCTGTGATTGTGCCATTGCATTCCAGCCTGGGTGACAGAATGAGACACCAACTAAAAATAAATAAATAAATAAATAAAAAGCCAGGTGAGGTGGCTTACATCTGTAATCCCAGCACATTGGGAGGCTGATGTGGGAGGTTTGCTTGAGTTCAGGCATTTGAGACAAGCCTAGGCAACATAGTGAGACCTCATCTCTACAAAAGAAAAAAATTCTAGCAGTCATTTGGTATCAAATTATGGACAATCCTGCTTTTTGTTGTTTTCTAAGACTTGTCTTTTCAGCACAAAAGTGATGGTAAGTTTTCTGAGTGCAGAGACTTTTCTCTTACTTTCTTTCACATGCTACCCCGTGCCAAGCACAGTGCTAGACAGTGCTTCCAAGGATGTGCCTGTTAGAAGTTGCTGCAGAATTCTTATCCCTGCAAAACAGTCTTAAAGACATGTAATGTTTAACTTGAGGAGCGCAGTCCACCTCTACAGCAAGGGCAGGCTCAGAGAAGGAGGGCCCAAGACATATAACTAACCAATGGCAGAAAACCC